CACCCTCATTTAAAGCCAAGAATGAACAGGAAAATATATTCCACCAATTGTTAAGTTGAACATTCAGGTATTCAGTCATACCCCAAAGAAGAACACTCGAGTAGTATTCATCTGTATTCGTCTTGGTTACATATCGGCCTCTTCGACCAAAAACTTCGCTAAATGTGTGCATCAACCTCAACTAAATCCAATGCTTACATGTCTCATCAAACTGGGACCGATTTTTAAAAACACTACTCAGCTTCAGTAGTAGTCAAGTAGTCTGAGCTTGAATGGTCAATTTAGCCTGAGTAAGCAATTTAGCTTGAGTTTAGCTTGAATAATCAATGAATCGACTAATCCGTAGCCCAAGACAGAAAGGACGCCTTCTTCAGGATGTTGGAATAAACTCAATCATGATGTTCGAGGTCCTCACATTGACTATTTACCCGATCTACTGATTAGCTGCTGACAAATTAGATGAAATCAACGCCTAATTGGGCTTGCCAGTTCTGAAACTTAATTATGAGGACAATAACCAGCCTAATGAGGCTGGAATAATAAACGTAAGAATGAGGTGATCTCTGTCCAAGCCGATGTAGCAATCAACTGAGTCACAGCGAGGGTAGTTTCAACGGTAAGCCTAGGACATGCCTAAAAACGGATCTGCGCTGTAGTTGATAAAAGGTGCACAGGCAAGTATGCACGTGGAACAGCCTGAATGTTATTCGGGCAAGGTGATTTTTAATAAGTGGACTGTCTCTGCGATTCGTATGAAATCAGAAAACAAAGTATATTTTTATGTAGGAAACTAATCACAAGGTTGCTGAAAACTCTTCGACAACCTACGACCGGTTTCGCCCTTCTTGGGGCTCATCAGGTCATTATCATCATCATCATCATCATCATCATCATCATCATCACCATCATCATCATCATCATCATCATCATCATCATCATCATCACCATCATCGACAGCATGACATCNTCAAGTAGAACATAAGGTTGACGGAAACTCGGGAACTGCGCCTACCTGAGCAGTGAAGCATCAGTGTTGAACACTGATGTCATGCTGTCGATGATGGTGATGATGATGATGATGATGATGATGATGATGATGATGATGATGATGATGATGATGATAATGATGATGATGATAATGACCTGATGAGCCCCAAGAAGGGCGAAACCGGTCGTAGGTTGTCGAAGAGTTTTCAGCAACCTTGTGAGTAGTTCCCTCAATGAAAATATACTGCGATATCTAGAATGTCGTGCCAACTGAATCATGAGGCGGCCTGTGTGCAGCACATTCGGTTGTAGAATATCACAAACGCAGATTCGGTTGAGTCTCTCGTAAAAACCAAATTGATTTGCAAATGAGTGTATTTCTAGAAAACAAGGTACTTAGGCACACTCTGTTCTTTTGGTCAGGTGGGTACGGCGGGAGCACAGAACTCACTACATTGACTGGTAGGTTGTAGAAAGCGCTGTACGTTATCAACTCTGGTAGTAGTGTATTAGCTTCAGTGGCCCGCCAGGTTAGTTACTACTGATAGTCATCAACACTTGAATGACTGGGTATCTAAGAGTACAAGTAAGTCCAGCAGTACTATTCGTTACAGGTTGATTTTCGACTAGCTTGAAAAATGGCCCCTCAGACACCTCATTCATTCTAACTTGTTAGTTAGTAGCGAAGACTGTCTTGTGGAACCGAATAGCGGTGGTCTACAAAGCCGAAAAGGTAAGCTTCCATGTTCATACTGTAGTCAGTATTATTATATAACACGTTCGCTCGCCTTACAAAAGTTTTCATACTGGTATTTGACCCCCGATTCGTCAGCCTGGACACAAACCTTCACATACAATGTGAAAAACACACAGCAATGAAATTGTGAGGGCCATCCACATTTTCCTTAAGTACACCACCTTGATGAGCGGAATGAGTTTTTGTCAAAATCTGGCAAGTCCTACCAGATGGGCTCGGAATTGACAAGATTATAAATCCGATCATTTGACACAAAAATACCTGGAAGAGAACAAACGGGAGCGGCACTCCCTTGATACCTCTTCATCCACAGATTTAGCCTCAAAACCCCTTTAAATCAATACACTATACTTTTCATAACATTATGGCTGACGCTTCTCCAATAATGTCTCATGGTATTCATGAGCCCAGGTTTGGGGCCACATTTGTGTATCCTGTATGACAGTATCGTCTGCAGGATCTTTTTCTGGTGAAGGTCAATGCTACCAGCTGGGTCGATCAAACATTTATGAAAAGGAATGTAAATGCATTTGAATCAAATAAGGCTTGAAACACTGCGTTATCGTGTCCTATCTCCTCGCACTATCCTGGCGGTATTAAGTATTCCGAGGTTTGGACTACGTATCACAGTCTTGTCAGCCAGCAGTGTTTCTAGCCTGCCCATTTCAAGAACCTAGAAGATTTCCACTTAAAGTATAACTGAAAGGAAAAAGGCCTTCACTGCGGAGTTATATATTAGAAAATGCCAACTGAACAGTTACAGACTATTGGACAGTACAGCGAAACTCTCGTTTACAAAAACTGAATATCCATCCTCTCTTTGAACGCGTCTTCCTGAACTTTCCCGGATATTTATTGACTGTTGCTCAAATCCAAGCAAATGCTACAAAGTGACTCAATAAGTTCCACAACAGATCTCACTTTTCAAGAGACGCAAAGCGGATTTACGCGGAAGCATACTACTCGCATGCCTCCCCCATCAGTAATATCACCGTCACACGAGTATTTCAAATTTAGAGAGGCGCTGTCCACCCTATTTCGAAAACAGTAAAAGACGGCAAGTATTCCTAGGTGCGACAAAAATAACTGCATTCAACGTTTTTAGCATTGGGTTGAATCTCTTGCGACCTGAAGCCAGTGATCGATTTGAGTAAGCATTGGTGATCTGCAGGAAACCCACTTCGACGGACTACACGGAAAATTTTCTGCATTACACTTTTGCGAAAAAATGGTCTTTTTAATCAACGTATGGAAAGTAGACCAATGGATGTTGCATATGGGAAACAACAACTTACATCCATTTTCAACCCCATCATCCTAAAAGCGGACATTCCAGTTTTAGCATTCCCTGTCTGTAGGAGGGAAAACTCTGCCCAATGGCCGTCGAATTCTCAATATCCGACATTGGGGAAATCTTAATAAAGTGTGTCTACTTGTGAGTAGCCAAACTGTAACTGACTTAAGGGAAGCCGAAAGTGCATGATTGGCCGCGGACATCTCATGTATCTTGGCCACGTTGCTCCATATGATGCAGCCCCGAATCTTGAAACCAGAAAAATGAACCAATTCACTTGAAGCACCCTGAAGTAGCCGCAACTTAGGGTTCAGAAATAAGTTCGCTTAAACCAAACTTATGAGTGTTTTCAGATGGTCTTAAGAATTAGGGTTATGCAGTTACACAGAACGAAAAAGCGATCCCACTCCTACTTATGACGGGATACGGAGACGGGAACCGACCAGTATACTGGCTACTGGTGTTATTCTCCATGTGACAGGATACCTGCCCCTTCAGGGCGCTCATACCCGACCGAATCGGTGTGACTTTTTGGTCATAAAGAACGATGAGAAAATAAATCAAACTCATAAATCCTATTTATTCACAGCCAAGAAGTAGTTATGAATTCTACTGCTTCATTCGTAATTTCTGACCCATTTGACTCCAATTTAAAAAATTCCACATTTAGACTCAACAGGCAAGCAAGTAAGGCAAAGTCCAAATAGAGTCCACAAATTTTTCGTCTGTGAGCCCTGTAAATTCGGCGAGGCTGTGTGCGTTTTGTTAGTGCTAGAATCTACCACATAGCAGAATTGATGTGGTCTTTATGCCTCGGTAGCATTGCTTCGGAACTAGGTGTTAAATACTGGGATGATCATTGATTAGCCCCTTTCGAGCGTATATTTTTGTATTCAGCTGTACCAGTCAACGGCTGATGCTTACAGGTATTGCTTCCATTCACGAATGCTGAGACTGAGCATCTGTCCTTAATCATGACAGAAGTGTCATTGATGCAGTGCGAATGTCGGTCTGAACCAGCGACCCCACATCGTTTTGCTCACCGATAGGTCTAAAACTGTGGCATATTTCTACAGATCAGCTGGGAAAACAATTCCACCGCGCACCCCTCTATTACAGCCATCTCGATATGGTGAGCGGTTTCGGTTCAACTTGGAGAAGGTACTCATGATTTCAATTCTGGAGTAACCGAGTGTAAATAGCTTTCTTTGTTCCATCCTTCCGCCAAAATCGAACAGTTCTGTGTGCTCTTCACCTCTTAATGAAACTTCCTTTATCGATTTCGTCGGTCTTTATTATACATTAACGTGACTGACTGGACATCCAGATATGCGCACATATAAGGTATCAGCGTGTAGATTAGAGGCTTGTTTTACCGACATTCAACAGTCTCGGTAACCAGCACCTCCTCCACGAAACACCCGGTGCATTTATGGCGTAAGTGAACCGAACATATATGTAAATCACATTTGATCAGCTTCCACTGGTGGTGTAGCGGTAAATGGTTCCCTCTGTTACTGGGCGTCCCGAGTACAAAACCCAGTATGATCAGGAAAAACGTTATTTTTTAATAAGCTCGTACAAAGGCCAGATCCGTGTCTAGTCTTTCCTCATTTTGTCGTTGATTAACCGGAATAAGTTAGTCTTGCTGAGAGGAGAAGTGTTCAAACGAAACGAGTATTAGCATGAAAAATGTTTGATTTACTAGAACTGTACAATCGTCTAGAATGCAGGTAGGCTACCCCAATAAGCATGCAAATATAAACATATTCAAAATTCGTCTTAGCAGCATCATGGGGATCTATCTGATAAAACCCAAGTAACCTGGAGTGCACACTCATCTACCAGTGGATTCTAGGTCCCGTGCATGAAAGGTGTGATGACCTACCTTTCCATGTGTAGTTTGTACCCCAAAGTCTAATTAGTTACTTTCTCCTCCCTTCACTTGGCACCCCTTTTCAGGCCGAACACGTTCCACCCCTTAGAACGCAGCCGCTACTCAATGTTGGAATGGGAATGGTATATTTCACTAAACACGAAGACGCAAAACGCTTCTCGTACAACGAACAATCCTTCATGAGCGCTGATTTTCTTAACAACGCAGAGGTTTTCATTGTCCCGGTGATTACCCCTTTACTAATAGGATCACGTAAGTAATGCTGAATGACTTTTCCCTCGCTACAAACTAATGAGACATATGTGGTGACAGATTTCAGATCAGAGATGGCATTAACTAAAGCTTCGGGTAAAGCTTTCGTTGATAGATAGATAGATAGATAGATAGATAGATAGATA